ACACACACACACACACACACACACACACACACACACACACACACACAAAGGATCTAGTCTAGACCCATGGAGGCCTTGGGCCTCATGCTGCTTCAGTCTCTGAGGGTTCATGTGTGCTTTGGTCGTGTCCATTTATAGGACCTTGTTTTCTTGGTGTCCTCTGTGCCCTCTGGCTCTTACAATCTCTCTGCTTCCTCTTCCATAGGCTCCCTGAGCCCTGAGGGAAAGGATTTGATGAAGACATCCATTTATGGCTAAGTGTTTCATTATTTGCTCAATGTCTGGCCATAGGTCTCTGTATTTGTTCCCATCTGTCGAAGGAGGAAGCTTTCTTGAAGACGACTGAGCAGAGCCCTGATCTATGAGTATAGATTGCTAGGATTTTTTGCTTTTTGCTTCTTTGATTGGTTGGTTTGGCTTGGTTTCTCTTTTTAGAACATTAGTATTGGTCTTTCTCTAGATCACTAAGTCTCAGGTTCTTGATCCCCTAAGTAATGTCAGGTTTCATCTTGTGGAGTGAGTCTTCGGTCAAACCACTATGGTGACTCCCACAAGATTTGTGCCACCATTGCTGTAGCATAGCTTTCAGGCAGGGCACCATTTTGAATCATGGGGTTTTAGACCAGCTTGGAGTTTCTGTTTCTCTTTTGCTGGCATTCAGAGTACCTGCCTGTACCAAAGCTGCTAGAACATAGGGACAGAGGTTCTCAGTAAGCAACAGCTCAACTTTTACATGTTCAATGAGCTGTGTAGGTATTGTTTTCTGCAATGGGGCCTTACTGTTTGCTTGTGGTGAGCAACCTATAGTCTTGGCAGCCATCTGACTTGTCTGGGTATTCACATGGAACTTCTTTGATCAACAAATCAATTTGATATAACCCAGTCCCAGGACTAGAATCTGACAAGGTCTTCCCCCACTCATGGAACATAATAGTGTTTTCTCCAGATATCTAGTGAATGGCATACTTACTCAGAGAGATTACAAAACTAGATTCTTAATCCACTCCAGAGCTCTACCATGAGACTCCTTTAGGTCTTCTCATCATGAATGCATGCTACTGAAGAAAAGTGGTGAGCTCCCATTAGAACAGGCACACTGCCTCAGTTGGTGGTCCTGACTTCCTTGCTCATCTTCTCCCTCCTTCTGCCTTTCAACTGGACCTTGGGAGCTTAGTCCGTTGCTCTGATGAGGGTCTCTGTTTCTATCTCCATCCGTCGCCAGATGAAGATTCTATGGTGATATTCAAGATAATCATCAGCATGATAGTGGGACAAGGACAGCTCAGGCACCCTCTCCTCTGCTGTCCAAGGACCTAGCTGGGGACATCCCATGGACACCTGGGATCTCCTCTAGAGCCAAGTCTCTTGCCAACCCTAAAATGAATCCCTTACTGTAGATATCTTCTTCCCTGCTCTTATATCTGCCCTTCCTCCATCTCCATCCTCCCACTCCCCCAAGCTCTTGCCAGACCTTCCCTTCTCCCTTCACTCTCTCCCTCTCCCTTTCCCCCAAACTCATCCTCACCCTTACCTTCACCTCCATGCTTACAGCTTTTGCCCTGCAATCTTGTTTGCTTCCAATTTCCAGGAGGATCTATATATGGTTTTCTTTGGGTTCACCTTGGTTTATGGCTAGAGTCCACAAATGAGTGAGTACATACCAAATTCATCTTTTTGGGTCTGAGTTATCTCACTCAGGATAGTGTTTTCTATTTCCATTCATTTGCATGGAAAATTAAAGATGTCATTGATTTTTTTACTGCCGAGTAGTACTCTAATGTGTATGTATTCCACACTTTCTTTATCCATTCTTCCATGACCGGGTCTGAATGAGCTTGTGATCAAACTGGACCCTCTGATTGTGGTTCACAATGGGGGCTGACTGAGAAGCCATTGATAAAGGCACTGGGACTTGTTTTTATGGCATGTTCTGGCTTTTGGGGACCCTAGTCTATATGGATGCACAGCTCCCTAGGCCTGAATGTGGGCAGGGGAGGGCCTTGGTCTTCCCACAGGGCATTTTTCCTGACCCTCTCTCAAGCAGGGCAGGAGAATGGGGAGGGGATGTGGGGGAGTGGGAGGGGATTGGGAGGAGGGAAGGAAGTGTAAATAATTGATGGAAAAATAAAAATTAAAAGAAAAGAAAAGTGGCTAAGAGTGTGCTTTTTAACCAACTGACACAGGAATCCCACACATTAGAATCCCATCAGCAATGGGTGGCAATAACATATAGTCACTGCTGATCCCTTCTTGGGGTCCTGACAATTTTCTTCTTTTTCTGTTCATATAGAAAATATAAGAAAATCACGCAGGTATCTGGAAATGAGATGTCATCTCCCCTTAAAGTTCATGATTAAATTTATCTAGGAAGAATATCCTCATAGTAACTCACCCAGATATCTCTTAAAAACCTGTCAATATAAATATGACCTCAATACAAAAGTAAGAAACTAAGAATTCATCTTGTCAACTACCTTTAAGCAACCAAGGGTACAGTCTCACCTGACTGCCGCATCTCTGTAAAGAAAAATACATTGCCATGCTGTATTTCCAGCAAGTGTCAGGGATTTGCAAATGTATATATAGACAATTAAAGACTGCTCAGTCAGCATCTTGATAAACATAAAAGAAAAAGACTTTGATGGACAGAAGAAAACTGGGCAATGGGGCAGAAAGCAAATAAAGGAAAAACCTAAGCAGAAAATATACAAAAAAACACATTATGAAGAACAACATACTGTTACAAACTTGAACTCACAAGAATTTCAACGTATCTTGCACTTTAGACCTTTAGACCCCAAATATTATCTTCTCTTCTTTCCCATGCCTTTTGTCTTCTCTCTTGTTTTCCTGAAAGTTTCATTAGCTTTAGAAGTATAGTTTCATAATCTACTTGATTTCTTAAACCTTAAAGAAAAACAAAGTGAGGCCACTCTCCAGGTCAGAATTCATGAGAAATTTGTTCTACACAATAAAAGTTCCTGCTGCTTTTATTCAGTTGTTCAGCCAAACAAATGACTTTCATCATGGTCAAGGGTGCTGTTATCTGAAACTTTCCTGTGCTTCTGTCTAGGATAATTCCTATTGTGTAGAAAGTCATTATCCAAACTAAACCCTCAACCCATCTCACCTCTTGAGTTCACACAATTTTATAAGACATGAATTTCACAGTGTTATGTAAGTTCATAACAAGATTGAATTTTACACTCCTGTGTGTTGGCAAAAGGCCTCTGTTCAATAGTGACATGTAACTAAACTCTAAACTTTTAGAGAAGATTCATTATAACTATTGTTGTCAAACCTAATTTACAAAGAGTAGCTAGAAAATATATTTCAGAAAATGATAGCAGTTATTCTTGCTTTCAGGAGGGTTAGGGTACAATCTATGGATTTCCATTTAAGATGACAAGGGTTACCAGGAGAGGTATTAAAACAGAAACAAACAAGTGCTAGAAAGTGTTTGATCTAATAAAGTAAGAAATTAAATATCCTAAGCACAAATACCTTTCTTTATATGTTGGTTGGCCTTTTTGCTTTGCAGCCTTTATTATTCCTTCTTGTGACCGACTTTGTTGACTCCCCATGGGAGGCCTAACTTTCTCTGAGGAGTGGATAGAAAGAAAAGATACAGGGAGCAGAGCAGAGAAGGGGAATTGGGATTAGTATGTAAAATAGAAGGAGATTGTTTTAAATAAAAAGTATGAAAAATATAACTGCTGTTGTCTTCAGCTTTCCCCCTGGGGATCAAGTGACTCAAGCCTTC